ATATATATATATATATATATATATATATATATATATATATATATATATATATATATATATATATATATATATATATATATATATATATATATATATATATATATATATATATATATATATATATATATATATATATATATATATATATACACACACACACGTATGCTTGTCTCTAACTATTGCATCCCAAAGAAAGATGCAAATTCTTTATGATTCAAGGGAGAACTTTGATCAAGAGGAAGTTATCAAAGATAGGGGGAGCATTCACATAAGAGTTTCTAATTCTTTCTAAAAGAGTCAAGCATCTTCAACATTATATTTTGATGAAGACAAATACTATGTACATTTATCAAAGGATGAGAAAAAACATCATGAAGCAATATGACTATGGTTAAGCTTTCAATATTATTATATGTATTTTGTCCATTTTTTTATGCATGTTTCCCTTCTTTTTGATAATGTCAAAGGGGGAGAAGTATGTTACACTTTATACTTATGTATTTCCTTGTCTTAAACTTTTAAGGTACAGATAATCCTTCAAGATGAGCAAATCCAATTGATTACAAAGCTTCTCATACAAAGGGGGAGTTATACATCTTAGGGGGAGAAGTCTCTTTCCGGAAATAACAAAGCTTCAAGAAAGATTGTTTGTCATCATCAAAAAGGGGGAGAATATAATATCAAGTTTCTCAAATGATTCTCAATGCACTTTGTTTTAATGAAGACAAACTATATTGGCAAGAAGACAAAGATTTTGGTCAAGCTAAAAGCATCATTGGATAAAGACTTTGTCTCAAGTTCTTAGAAAATTTCACAAGGTATAATGACAATGCTTACTTTGAACTTAAGTCTTAAATGCTCAATGTTCAAAAGAAGTGTTTTATCTTGTCCAAACTTTTTCTCAAGTTTTTTAAGAAAAAAACCAATTTTCACTTATGTGCAATCGATTTGCATGTTGGTGCAATCGATTGCATGCTTCACGTTTTCAAAGTGTTAACTATTGTTTCTAATGCAATCGATTTGCATGTTTGTGCAATTGACTGCTCTCTATCAAATTTTGCTACTGTTTTAAAGTGCAATCGATTTACACACATGTGCAATCGATTGCTCACTGAAAATATTTGAATTTTTTAGCTGTTAAAACCCGTGCAATCGATTTACACAAGGGTGCAATCGATTCATTTGCAGAAATTTATGCTATTTCAAAGAGGTGCTATGAACATATAAATACTAAATTTTCAAAATCATTTTGTACCTCTTCTAATCAGTAGTTTCTGAATTTTAAAATATTAAAACTCAAGCTTTTTCTTCACTTTCATACACAAGTTTTTCTGCACATTTTCATATATTGTTAAACAAAAAACTTTGAGCATTCTATAGTCTTGAGTCATTGTATATTATTGTTATTGGAAGAGAAGATCAAGTCATTGATAAAATCACTCAAAGTGATTATTGCACTACAAACTCTATCAATCAAATATTGCTATACACTTTCTTATTTTTCAGGGTTGTATAAAATAAGTTCAAGTGATTTTGTAATCTTGTTTTTCCAGGATTGTTGGATACTAGTAAGGTCACCTTGAGAGGATTGTTCTCATTGTAGACATAGTGAAAATCCAAGAGGATTGTTCTTGGTCCAAGAGGATTGTTCTTGGTCTTGGTAGTTCTTGTTTTAAGTTTGCCACTATAAGGAAATCTCTTTCATGTTGAAAGGGAACTGGAGTACTCTCTGACTGTAAGGGGAACCAAGATATATTGCTCGTGTCTCTTTATTTTTCTGAATTTTACTCTTTCATAAACACACCATAAACTAGAAAAATATTATCCATCATCACTAAAAACCAGAAAAATTTTAAAGTGCCTAATTCACCCCCCCCCCCTCTTAGGCGTACTTCGTACTTACAAAATAACTAACTAGCTGTATATGATTGCAAAATTAATTCACATACCTTTTATTTTGAAAACCTAATTCTTCAAAGGTTCTTTCATGTTTTGATGCGGATACTAACATCTATTAAGTTGAATTCCAACGAGTCTCAACATTTATAGAAACTAAACCTTTATAGTCCATGCTCTCCTCATCAATACATGTCTTGAATTTAGCGAGCCTCCCGGGAGAAGATCTAGCATACCAAACAGCATGACAAACTTTATAAACAGAACCATCAATGTCTTTCAAACCTTCTTTCACAATTAAATTCAATATGTGTGCGTAGTACCTCATATGAAAATAGTTTCCACTCATAACTAAACTATTCTTAGACAAAAGCCTTCTCTTGAGACATTCAACCCCAACATCATTAGATGAAGCATTATCAACTGTCAAACTAAGCATGCGGTTCAAACCCCAACTGTTCAAACACATCTCCATTGTTTCACAAATAGCATCCCCTCTGTGACTTGTGACTTGATAAAAAGTTAAGATCTTCTTCTGTAAGTTCCAATTATTGTCAATGAAATTGGTCGTCACACACACATATAGCTCAACTTTTGACAATAAGTCCACATATCAGTGGTGAGACAAACTCTTCGACAATTCAGAGAGAGAAAGTTTTTCAAAATCATTTTTTCGGTGTCCCGTAGTTTCAAGACATCACGTGCCAATGTTGTGCGCGAACAAATCTGAAATCTTGGTGAAGCGAGACTCAGAAATTCATGAATAGACTCACGTTCGACCTTCCGAAAAGGAATCTCCATGTTAATGAACATCTTAACCATTGCTCTTCAAATAGCTTCTTGGTCAAACTTGACAATTAAAGGAGAGCCAACATGTTCTTCAACACTTGTCGTAGAAGATTGTCCTTTGTCTCTTGTAAACAAGGCATCTCGATAAATGAGCATGCATGGAACTAGTTCCATTATTATACTTAATTTTTGTGTCACAGTACTTGCACGAAGCTTTTTGTTCTTCTTCTGACGATATAATGAAATGATTTCAAGCCTCTGAACGATTCTTTCGCTTCTTAATGTGAGGAGGTGACATTTCATTAGAGACGGTAGGTGGAGGGGTTGAAACTGTATTCTCGGATGTTGCATAAGTTGTGCCAACATTAATCATCTTGATTCTGTTAAAAATAGAAAAACAAATTAGAAATTCCATTTGAAACAAGTGTTTTTGAAATATAAACAATCCAACATAATTACTCGAGATATATATTAAATATCAAATAAATGATAAATTAAAGCATACACTAATACAGTACAAGGAGCGCAAGATAAAAACATATACAAATACAAGATAATTCAAACAAATTGAAATACACAACAAAAATACACCAGAACAAGATATTAACTCCACACCGATGAATCCAATCAATCAGAATTTGGTTTATAGTTATTGGATTTTTTGCACACCCCTACATGGAGCAGACCTCCATTCAATCAGAATTTATGACTCAAGTAAAATAACGATGATCACAATTGGGGAGCCAAGAGCCCAAGACAGCATGCCTTTCTTTTTCATCAATAGAAAATTAAAGTGTCACGGCTATCCTCCTGATAGACAGTGGATATTTGACCCCTTCATCCAATTATTCAATCTAATAAAACTTCATAGGCTAATACTTTCTTTGTCATTCACTTCCAATTAAATAAATTAAATACAAATAAATTCATGATTTTCACATAAAGCATGAACACAAATCTTCTTTTTAGTCATTACAGTAGTAAAATAGTGTCTCACTAATCAACACACATTTCATTTTTGTTAGTTAAGAAAACTATTGATTCCAAATAACTTATGGTCGTTAATAACAAGTAAATTAATCTAATTAACCATTTATGTAGCCTCAGTTTAAAGTCATTCTAAATTGTCAAATATCTTATTATATGTTAAACATTGCCAAAAAGTTTTGATTCCAAAAATGGTGATTCGCCGGCTAAAGTATTTGATAAATATGATCTGGAACTGATATGTGCAACTATGACAGATCAGAGAGAAATTACAATCCCAAACTGCTAACATAACAACACTGAATCAGCCGAGACGAACTTCAAATTGAAAAATAAAAGCGAAGTCTCCAAAAAAACAAACAAATGACAGGAAAAAATTAGCTTCGCCGATAAAAAAAGACAAACAATTTGAAGCCTAATACCGAGATCTAATACAACAAACAACCCCTAACTGCTACAACAAACAGTTCGCCTCTACATTTACTGGTCAAAAAGAAGTCTTGAAATTTTTACATAATGAAATGGAAAATTCTCGGATATCTATTAAGAGTTTCACTCTTCTTCCAACACTTGTGTCAACTTCTCTAGTCACAAGCAAATGTTATGGAGATATATGAAGTCTTTATTTCTCCAACAAGTAAATCAAATAAAGAGATTATAAATAGTATGCTACTTTACATTCAGAAAATTCACACAAAGTTCAAGCAAAATTCAGAAACAAAATTTACACCAAATTCAAAAACAAGCATGAATGAATCGTGAAAACAATCGATTGAATTGGAAAAAAAAAGTTTCCAATGAAACTAAAAAAGCTTCAAAGTAGAAATTTACTTACCTCAAACGCAGAAGAGAGCTTGACGATGTTGCCGAAGGACGATTTTATTGAATTTAAAAAACGATTCCATCGATTTTACAGCTATTTTAGTAAACCCATAATTGTGATTTAGACGATTTTGTTGAACATGAAGAAAGATTTCGTGGATTTCATTAGATTTGGGATTAGAGTTTTAGATTTCGATTGATTTCGTTGTGCGCTAGGATAAGAGAGAAAGGGACATAGTTTTGAATCTGGTACCCGATAAACTAAACTAATTTAGCATATGGATATCAGTTTTTTTATAATTTTATTAAAAGGACCGTCTGTTTTAAAATATAGTATTGGGTTGGGTTTTAAATGGGTATGTATAATTGGTTTTTTTGCAAACTTGATGCATGTGTGGTGAGATGATAAAGGCTTCACCCACTAGGAGCCACCGAAGGAGTTCTCCTTTTCTCTTCTTCATTCATCTACCTTATTTCTTTACGATAACATTAACACATTAGTTAACATGTTGCTTTTGCTACCACAACTAACTTCTACTCCGTTACCGTTCCATTCAACCCGCGTTAAAATTCTCCCAATCCACCGCCGCCGCCGCCGCCGCCACCACCACCACCATGCCATCTCTCAACCACCTCCATCCGCCGACACGTCCTTCTCATCCGCCAGATCAATAATCAAACACGACGATCCCAACGACATTCTTTCCCTCCAAAACCGCCGTTACGACTTCTCTCCCCTCCTCCACTTCCTCTCCAACAATTCCACCTCCAACGATTCCAACTCCAACAACAACAACAACACAGACTCGCTCTCTCCCACCGAGTTCCAACTCGCCGAGTCATACCGAGCCGTTCCCGCTCCACTCTGGCACGCGCTTCTCAAATCCCTCTGTTCCTCTTCCTCCTCCATCAACCTAGCATACGCCGTCGTTTCGTGGCTCCAGAAACACAACCTCCGTGTCTCCTACGAGCCTCTCTACTCAATCCTCATCAACGCGCTTGGACGAAACGAAAAGCTCTACGAAGCTTTCTTACTCTCGCAACGACAGGTTCTAACTCCATTAACCTATAACGCATTAATCGGTGCTTGTGCTCGTAACGGTGACCTAGCAAAAGCGCTTAACTTAATGTCTAGAATGCGCCGTGACGGTTTTCAACCTGATTCCGTTAATTATACCTCAATTATCAAATCACTAACTCGTTTGAATAGAATCGATTCCCCGATTCTTCAAAAGCTTTACGCCGAACTTGAATCGGATAAAATCGAAGCCAGCGATCATTTACTGAATGATATAATTCTCGGTTTCTCAAAAGCCGGTGACGCGACACGTGCAATGCATTTCCTTGCTGTTGCTCAGGGTAGAGGTTTGAGTCCTAAACCGAGGACTCTTTCTGCGGTTATGTTAGCTTTGGGAAATTCGGGTAGAATGGTTGAAGCTGAGGCGTTGTTTGAGGAGATTAAAGAAAATGGTTTGGAGCCGAGAACTAGGGCTTATAATGCATTGCTTAAAGGTTATGTGAAAACTGGTTCTCTTAAAGATGCAGAGTTTGTTGTTTCTGAAATGGAGAAGAGTGGTGTTTTGCCTGATGAACATACTTATAGTTCGTTGGTTGATGCATATTCTCATGCTGGAAGATGGGAGAGTGCGAAGATTATTTTGAAAGAAATGGAAGTGAGTAATTTGCATCGGACTTCGTTTATTTTTACTCGAATATTGGCGAGTTATAGGGATAAAGGGGAGTGGCAGAAATCGTTTCAGGTTTTGAAGGAGATGAAGAGTTGTGGTGTGCAACCTGATAGACATTTTTATAATGTGATGATTGATGCTTTTGGGAAGTATAATTGTCTTGATCATGCGATGGCAACGTTTGAGCAAATGATGTCCGAGGGGATTCGGCCAGATACAGTTACGTGGAATACGTTGATTGATTGTCATTGTAAGTCTGGGCAGCATTCTAGGGCGGAGGAATTGTTTGAGGAAATGCAGCAGAGCGGGTATTCGCCTTGTGTTATGACTTATAATATTATGATCAATTCTATGGGTGCACGAAAAAGATGGAAACGAGTGAATGATTTGTTGAGCAGAATGCAAAGTCAAGGATTGTTGCCCAATGCCACTACCTATACAACTCTAGTTGATATTTATGGAAAATCTGGAAGGTTTAATGATGCCATTGAGTGCCTTGAGGTCTTGAAATCTATGGGATTCAAGCCACCTTCGACCATGTATAATGCCCTAATCCATGTCTATGCACAAAGGGTATGTTATATATGCATGTTATTATCTGAATTGTTATTTTTATTCTTGAACTGAAAAACACGTTGAGGCATGCTTTGGGATTGGGTGGGAAATACACCATATTTTATCTAGAATATCTCATCTTAACTTATTTGAAGAGTGACTTGGTTAGTTAGTAATTTTGGTAATATTTTGCATGAATTTGGGCAGGGTCTGTCTGAACAAGCAGTAAATGCATTTGGGATGATGTTAGCTGAGGGTCTTACTCCCAGTCTTCCAGTTCTCAATTCCTTAATCAACGCTTTTGGTCAAGATAGAAGAGATGCCGAAGCCTTCTCTGTACTGCAGTACATGAAAGAAAATGTATGTTTTCTTTCTATACTTTCTCCTCCCCCCTCTCTTTTTTCGGGCCAAAGACCTTTTATGTTATTTATTTGTTTGTGTACTACAGCGTGTCGAACCTGATGTAGTTACTTATACTACGCTCATGAAAGCTTTAATTCGTGTTAAGAAGTTCCACAAGGTACATAATATCCATAATTGCAATCAATATGTGTTGTCTATGTTTTTATAATTCTTCACTCTTGCATCTCGTCAATGAAATTTATCATATAGGTTTTTTAGCTCCAACGTTCTTAGAACTCCAACTATGTTTTTTTTTTTTGGTTTTGCAGTAAATTAATAATTAAGGAAAAATAATGTACCTAAAGTCATAAGTTGGTTTGATTCCATTCTTTTGCTATGTTTTTGATATGTTAAGCACCATCCACATTCCACCTCATCTCTAATATAGATAGATGGGAGTGTGGTTTTTCATTGAAGAAAAACAATTGGGTAAAAGTTGTAGATCCTGTTTTGTCAGCTTATTTGTCACTCACAATCAGTCAACTTTATTGCACAAACTATGCTACATCATTTGGGTTTCAGGTTTCAGCAGTGTATGAAGAAATGGTTAGGTCCGGATGCACTCCAGATAGACAAGCTAGAGCAATGCTGCGGTCTGCTCTTAAATACATGAGACAGACACTAAGATCATAAATTATTAAGCATATTACTAAAGCCTGTACAGAGTTGTATCGGTAAAAAAAAAAGTCGATTTTGGTCACCTGGTATACATGGTTCTAATTCTCTAATTCTGAAGGTTAGTGCTAACTTGCTACCTCAATGCCTATAATTGTGTAACATGCTTTGGCTTTTAAAAGAATAATATTTTACTCTGCAACTACAAGAGGGTTTGGCTGAAATCAATCTGCATTTTCTGTAAAATTGGTGTTTTGCCTTTTTAATTTGCCCTTGGAAAAGACAATTTAAGAGTGTTTCATGTTTGTTTTAACATTTGCCGCTTATCTTTAATAAGTCAAATTATGATTATGATTAAATTTATAATTATTAGTTAATCTAATAATGATAGTATGATTACAGCTGTGGCTCAGTATAGATGGTGCCGCAGAAATATCTGCAGTGTTTACCATCCTGGAAATGTACGCTCCTTCTATGATGGAACAAGAAACGAAGCTACGGAAATCACATGGAACTCACCCCAAACTCAAAAAAATGAAAAAACATGCAGAGATACTATTGGCTTCTCCTAATGTTGTACCATCTAGTATCAGTCTTGGGGATAAATATATTATATATTTTTTTCACTGTATTGTAAGTTTAATGTAAACTATGTAAGTAAAATTTATACATTGAAGTACATGCATTTCATGCTCATAAGTGGGAGTCCAGAAATAGTAACAGTGAGTGTGCATTCATTTCAATCTCATTCTCGATGCTGCACTCACGTTTGAAGTATTTTATTTACAGTTTCTATAAGTTTATCTTCTATCATTTTGTCAAAGATTTTTTATTTATCATAAGCCTGTCGAAGCATTGGACTTTTGAAATAGTTATTTACAGTTTGTTGTTTATCATATAAATATCTGTTTGCTTTTTAATTTTTGTTATGAAATAGCTTACAACATATTCACATGTTATTTACAGTCTTGTTCATTTGATAGCATAAAAATCCACATACTATATTGTTCATACGATAAATTTTATGTAATCTTAAGAGGCAATAGAATCAAATATTGTCATTTCTTCATTCAAAATTAGATAAATATATTTGATGTAACACAACAAATGAACAACTCTTATCGTCACATGATTGCATTTACTAAGTGGTGCCGCTGGCAGCACAGTTGAGCCACCTGGGCTGATAGGCAGCACAAGTTTTCATTCTTTTATAATACAATAAAAGAGATCATTCACGGAGGTGGGCCACTAATAAAGGATTAGAAACTATAGCACGAAAGAAAGGGGCATTACAGAGTAGTTAGTACATGCAACAATAATAAATTAACAACTCTCAAAATTGGATATACAATTTCTGCTACGACCTAATTTTAAAGGGGAATAGCAGAAACAATTGGTCTACTGCCCTTAGTTTTAGTTTTTGAAATTCTAGAACAGAACATGCACAATAGTAAAACTGACGACAGTAAAAAGAGCCTATAATATGTTCTGATTTCTTGCATTCCAAGCTCAAGTACCTCCATCTTTTTTCCATATCTATTCCTTCTCTCCATCAAATACCCATCTAGATATTCATCTATCGATACTAACTTATCCAACTTAACGACAGATGCTTTTGATTGAATCTCACCAAGCTGGTGTGGCCCCAATTTAAAAATTGTAAAGAAAGCTGCAGACCAGTCATCGAGAACAGTCTGAAACATAATGTCAGGTGTTAGGATCATCATTATTATACATTTTCTAAATATCATATCCCTCTCCTTAATTGAAAGTAAAAAAAAAAGATAATTGCAGTGAAGTTTTCAAGTAACATACATTGTAGCTAGCACGATCAGTGGGATTAAACATTCTAAAACAGTCATTTGATGCAGCCATTGCATCCCCATATATCTGTCGGTCAATACAAGACGTTAGGACACCGCAGTCAAATATGCTAATACAAAGTGGGAAGAGGTCTAGTAAAGATGCATACCTCAAAGGTGAAGGCCAAGGGAACCCTCACAACGTCATACATGAAATCGGTTGCTGTCCCGTGCGCAAAATAGCTGGAGAAGCAAGTTCTTATTAGAGAACGATTGACATATAAAGGCATTTGTCTTCCTCAAGACTACTAGTAAATCTGAAGCACTAAAACAGATCACGTATGTTGTACTGATAAAATTTACAGTTTTCAATTTAACACTTTTGGCACCTAAAATATAGTACAGAGCAACCACTCGCAACTCCAAAATATAAAAAAGAAAAAGCATAATTGAGTCCCTAAAATGTCAATTTGTCAAACTTGTGCTATTCACGTACAGCTTGACAACCAATAAGCCAAGGTCATCACTGGTTCACTGTATTTTGAGCAAGAGTATCTCTCCTTACATGCACTCTGGTTAAGTTCCATATTTTGCGATGCATCCAAAATAAATAAAAAAGGCATAAAAACTGCAATAGTCAAATTTATCCTTTTGTCATGAGGGACATTCACTGAAATGGACATCATTCATGAGGTAGCAAAATAAGCCCGGAGAAAATACACAAGAACTTCGACAGACATTAAAATAAACTATCTGAGACCAACTATTCATTTCTTTAGGATTCAATAGATAACAGAAGAAAACAGATATATAAACCCCAAACATTTATCCCAGTCAAAAAATTAAATCAGTCCTCTCATCAGATTCAAATGAAATTAACTAACCCTACGGAACCTCCTCCAGACCCAATCACACAACGCTTTTGGCAATGATGCTGATTTACTTCTTCAAGCAACGATTTCATCCGTTGCAATGGCAATCCACCAGGTGTTGTATTCTTGTGATCATATGGCATAAAAAGAGCCTGCAGCGAGGTTGGAAAAGGGACAGTAATATTTGTCATATAAGTTTATATGATGTTTCCAAAGCATCTTTACCAAATTACATAAATTATCAATTTTAATACCGAAGAATGAAAAGAAGAACAATAACATAAAAATATATATAATCAACACACCTACATACAGTTAGGTATTGTAAAAGCAGCAAGTTTAACAGCTAAAATAACAGAAGTAAATAATACATATAAAGCACAGACTCCGACACGGACACCGCAAGACGACACGGACACGGACACTCCGACACCGATATGTCAAAAATTTAGGACATCGACACCGCTATATATGTTAAAGTTTCATTTATTCATATAATATCAAAAGAGTGAAAAATATTCTAATAAGAATTAATGTCTTTAATTCTTCATTGTTAACATTGCTTCAATACATGGTTAACCCTTTTAACGGTGCGTGAGATTTGTCTAGAAAATGTAAAAAGTGCGTTGAGGAAAAGAAAAATAATTTTTTTAAAGAAAACTTGTCTGAATTATGGGACACTTGTTGTATAAGTGTCATATGTGTATCAGATACTGATTCAAAATGTGTTGACGCAAAGAAAAAAACCAATTTTTTGAGGACACTTGTTTGACTTTTTCGACACTTGTTTGACTTTTCCGACACGTTCGTACGGGTTTCATAAGTGTCGGACACCGCGACATGCCTACTTCTAGAGGTGTCCGTGCTTCATAAAATAATACACAGTAAGAGCCATGAGGGTGAGAAAATATCACCTACTTCACATAAGAAAATATAGTACGATAAGGGGCAAAGTTTTAACTACAACAAGGCTTAAATGATAACCTAACAATTGGAGTATTAGTTTTTTTTAATTGAGTGGGGTTATTCGCCTCCGTATAGCCAAATATCAATGTGGACTCCATCCCTGGTCAGAGTCAAATGTGGACTCCATCCCTGGTCAGAGTCAGGTACTGTAAAGTTAATAATGTGTGCCAATCCTAATATTTACACCTGATACTTCTTCTGTTCCCAAAAGAGATTATCAACAATTTCTATCACATCTTTATTTCATCTGCATAACAATATGACACGTCTTTAAGAAGGATAGTACAAGAGTAGCTGCAGTAGGGATTGTTAGCTAAAGGACTAAATGTGAAGCTTGTGTTACCAGTGAGATTCTAGATTAAAAAAAAAAAAACAGAATTAGGACAAATGGATTTCAGTAGCCATTTTTGAATGAGGGACTAGTTTTGCGTGCCTACAAGCTACTTTACTATGTTATGTTGAACAGGTTAATTCTAGAGAAAAATTAATGCTTTAAAAAGATGCAGCTGTAATATACATTGGGTTCACAGAATGTTAGACTTTTCATTGCTAACTTCACTGGGTTGGCAGTTTTATTTTTAAGAAGCAATTATTATATTAAGAGTGGTTAGTGGGAATTTATAATATAATTAGGAGCCGTTATGTTTTATTAATGTTGTGCTTATGTTTAGAATAAATAGGGGAAGATAGGAGAAGAGTCGTTTATCTCGAAATTAGACTGGAAATGTGTCATTTTGACACTAGGGGAGGTGCAGGCCCTCAAAGTTCTGCGGTATTATTATGTAATTCAAAGTGATTTTCCCTATTCCCTTTTGTATATCGGTTGGTTTCTATCAACTGGTATTAGAGCATTTTTTATCCAGGAAGATTGATTCACCATGTGTGCTGGAAATTTTGGCCTGGAGATGACTGTAGATTTGATGGAAGGGATGCTTATTGGTGGCTGATCCAGGCAGAGCAATATTTTGGTTTAAGAAGAATGAGTGAAGAGATGAAGCTTTCGTGGGTTTTTGCATTTGCATTGAGAAGAAATGTTCTTTGGTGAATTTCTTGGAACGAGAGCAACCCAAATACTTGTTGATAGGGTTTTTCAAAGGCCATTCCAAAAAATTCCAATCAGAAGTTTCAGATTGTCTTCTGGATTTAGAAAATGAATAACAGGAAAACAGAGGCAGCAGTTTGAAATTCAAGAAAGCAAGAAACAGTAGCATCTCAAAATGAAACGAAAATCATAAGCGAAAATGAAGATGAAGTAACATAGATGAATAAACACAACGAAAAAGAAAGCAAAGATCTGAATATAGAACGGGAAAAAGGAAACCAAGAAATGCAAAACAAAGTCTGAAAATGCAATGTGCAAAGACGGGTGTAAGTATAGCAAAAGAACGATCATGATTAAGGAAAACCTTGAAGGAAAACAGAAACTCAAAAGCTTTTAACTGTGGGATCCAAGGAGATGCAATTCACCACCATACCAACTAAGGGTTGCCATATTTTGGAATTGTAAAGGGGTATCTAAGAATGTTTTGGTGGAGACACGCCATACTGCTGCCATACTCTTTTTGGGTCAAAAGTACCACCCAAATCAGAATGTATGATCCATGCTTGAGTTCTCATATTTTACACTTTGCTCTGTCACTACGATACATTTTTCTACTACAGATTTCTTCACCTTGAGGACAAGTTGAATCTTTAGGGGGGAGTATTGTTAACCTCTCTCATAAAGTAATTAAGGAAAGCTGACTATTCAGTTTTGTAATTCAACTGATGCCAGTTCTTGTGTATTTTACAACATAATTTCGGTAAACATGCCGATTTATAAGTTTAAGAAAACAAATAGAAATTAGGATTAGCATCGCCATAAAGAAATATCACTGATAAAGTTGAAACAAGTAAATAAAATCTACTAGATACTAATTATGTCAGCAATTAAATTGAAAACTCTAATCCTGCTTGGGTTTATACAATGTGCACATCTGGAATTATAGCACAGAAATAGATAAGAAAC